ACATGACTAGAGCCTTCAATAATAGTGACCTTCAAGAATTCTATAATAATAAGGATGGAAAAGATGACCATGATAACGTTGTCGAATATGAAATATTGATAAACCAAAACCAACTAATGAATCCACAAATTAAATTGCCCAGATTTGAGTTTTTCAATAACTGCTCCAAAGACTATCCAAAAGATCATAAATACGAATTCATAAACAAGACATCGATACAGAAGTTACCCAATGAAATTGATTCCAATAATATTAGTAACATAACCATCAAAAGATTCAACGAAAACTTCTGCTTTATTTTGGTGAATTTGCTTAACATCACCAACAAAATCTTGATCAAAAATCTTACACAGAGAATCTTCACCTTAAATGAATTGAAACCCACTGAACTATTCAAAATCGTCTTGCTTAATTATGATAACAAATTTATCAATAAGCCGATTCTAAAAATATTGAAAAAATTAATACCATATCAAGGAAGGAAATGGAAGTCGATTAATATGGATTTAATTTCCAAAATTTACCTTAATTGCAGACTAGCACTCAGAGATAACTGGTTAAGTGGAAAGGATTTAGAGAATGATTTCAATAACTCATTTGATCAAGAAATTGCTTTACGAGCATTATTACAATTTTACAATATCAAAAATTATCCCCTTCAAATGGAAAGTCTTGGTTACCAAATATCGACAGTAGACATACCGAATATTACCTTAGATGACAATTTGGAGAATTTTGATGTATGATTCTTATAGGCAACAGTGAAAACCATATTATAGTGTGTAATTGACATAAATATATAGTACTAGTAGTGTTATTACCATTTTGAAAAGTTTTGACAATTTTCGACTTCCGATACTTTGGAATGCTTGACAAACCTTTAGAAAGAGCAATACATTAGATAAATACAATATAATAATAAAACAAAATGGTTAAATTAACTCAAATTGACGACGAGTCTGCTACTAGATTTGATCAAGGTCCAGCAGCTACCCACGCAGCAAAAGAAGAAACTTTCAGTGATAGTGAAGGTTCCGATTCTGATTCCGACATAGATGACGATTTTGACTTTGAAAGTGAAACTCTTCTTGATAGAATTGTTGCATTGAAAGATGTTATTCCACCACAACAAAGAACTCAAATTGTTTCTGCCGGTGAGACTATCAAAGATACATTATATTCTGGTTTCAGCAAATCTGGTAACTTATTGTGGACCTTGACATCTTCCGCTTTATTGCTTGGTGTTCCATTATCTTTAGCCATCTTAGCCGAAACACAGTTACAAGAAATGGAAAAAGAAATGTCTTTACAACAATCAGCACAAGATGTGTTAGCCCCAGGTTCTGAAGAAGCTTTCAAGAACACTGAAAAGCCAGCCACTGCCTAATCAAAGATTATTCAAACACCTTGTATATAAAGAATTGAAACTTCTCTATCATATTTTTATTCCTTCATTATTCATTCGTTATTTATGGATTATCCAATGAATTATATACTTCGAAATGTACAAAAATATACTATGTTGATGCAGTAGATTCAATTAAGAGCAAGGATAACTATTAATTTAACCTAAATAAATAACAAATGGATTAGGCTTCTAAGCTCTCTTATGCTTTATAGTTAAAGCATAGATATCTAAATAGGAAGTGATTTCACTAATAATTTCAGTGATAAAAAACGCATGGATGCCTAGGGTGACTCCACAGCCTAACCAGCTGACAGCACCTAATACCTTGTAGTAGTCGTAGCCATAAACACTAATCAAGACCTTAGCCAAAAACAACTGTGCGAGTGGCATGAACATTGGATATTGAACCATTGGGAAAGATTGCAATGTCAAGTGAGCCAAAATAATTCTACCGACGGAAAATGCAATAGAACAACCAATGGAAATGACCAATGGAAAGCCAAATTGCGAAATAACTTCTGGATATAATATGACAAACAAAACAATGGTAGCATAATACCCAAAGAATGGTATCAAACCTTTGTATGCTTCCAGGGTAACAGTCTTCGCCTTTGACGATTCCTCAGCATGTTCCGAGGCGTACTTCTTGTTGACGTTAGCCATGGCTGACGAAATATTAAAGTACAACGAACCCAAGCCAAGAACTACAATGATACTCGAGGTATCGAGAACATAATGGTCGCTATAGCCAATAGAGCTCAAGTCGAGTTCAAGCAACTTGATCGACCACAACTCACGCCCAAAGATTCCCGTCAAGATAAAGCACGCGCAAATCATCAAAATACCTTCGACTGGTCCACTGAACTCCGACAAGTACAAAGTGTGGGTGTGGTATTCTTCCCAGGTCGAAGTGTAGAAATTGCATACAGATGCAAACTGCGCGATAAGAAACAACCAACTGTACCCCAAATTGAACACCGATCCAAATACAATCGTGCCTAACGTGGTATTGATGGCGTCCACAGAATGATCAAACAACTCTCCCAATGGCCCACTTTGCCCTGTTCTTCTCGCATGGCACCCGTCACAACCGTCAAACGTCTGATACATGAACAACCCAAACGCATAGAAGAAGTAGCACCATCTAGGCGACGCTTCATCCAAAAACGGATCATAGTAAAACACACACAACAAGTTTAATAAAATAAACCCTAAGCCAAGCAATGTCACCGCGTTGGGCGCCATTGAAAGTGGAAAGATCTCCACAAAGGAGTTCCACCATTTTTTCAAGATAAACTTCGAAATAATTGAATGATCCTCCGAAGAATACTTGTAGAGTTTCAAATTCTCTAATTTGTTTGCATCAATGAAAAGTCCCATGTTCTAATACGCACACAACCTGTTTTGACTCCAATTGACGCCAGCTCTTCCTTTTGTTGCTTTATATATTCTGACTCTATACGTATCGTGAAAAAATCGATATTCAAGATCGCCGCACGTGCAAATGATTTTTCACGTGATCTACGAGAATATTTTCGAAGACTACACGGGTTCGACTTTCGTCTGCGCGTATTAGATTTTTTTTCCATCTCCCCACTTTCCAGGCAACCTCTATTATACCGATTCAGGATTAATACCCATCTATTCCCGTCACTATCATGAAAAATGATTGTCAGACTTCTTTGTAATAAGGGACCGTCACATTTTCTATTAAATCTTCCACATACTCAGCCAAGAACTCACGAAACCTCTGAGCAGCTATGCGGCTGGCCTATTGTTCGTAAAATTATTATGTAACTACGTACCATTGTTTGATTAGTCGTCGTCATGACTTTATTTACACCGTGTCGGGAAATAGTGGGTCAATCCACCCATCTCGTATGTATGGTATAAGCCAGCTAAAGGGTCTATGCAAGACGCAGTATGTACGGTCTGGCCCATGACCAAATCTCAGGTGTGTTTTACCATGAAGGCATGATAAAGCATATCTGCATTCTATCCGATGTACGGTCCTACTGCAGCATATATGTACGGACATAAATTCATGACTGGCATTGGCGGATTAATAAGTCAATTCAGGGAATTGACAAGCGATGCACGAAGCATTGAGTCATTAGTCGATGTTCGTTATCAGCCTTGAAGCGTACCTCGACGTAAATGTGGAACCAGTACCGGTTATGGTCGGTGATACCTACACATGTATAAATAGACAAGGTATTCCTTGTTAGGGAATTTGATTATTTCATAACAACAATACTTGTGTACACAACAATTACACAATTGATTTCAAATAATTGTTTTTAATATTAAATAATTTTTTTAAACGTATACAGATAATACTACATTATACAAACTAATATGTCGATGCAATCAGCAGAATCTTTTGATCCAGATAATTACAAGAGACAAAACGGCGGTCCAAGTCAATTGAGACAGGATAATTATGAGGCCGAACCGCAGTTTCAAAAACCTGCTCCAGTAGTGAACCACGAACCAGCAGTGAAGCCAGAAATGGTTATGAAAAATTTTGCCAAAAAATATGAAACCCCAAAGGCCAGTGGATACCAATCGTTTATCAGTGGGCTTGGGTCGATGTTTGGTGCATGTGGGGCTTATTGTTGTCTTTGTACCAACCCATATAAGGAAGTGCAACAAGGTGAAGTTGGTTTAGTGCAAACATTCGGTGCTTTATCGAGAACTGTTGAACCAGGTCTTACCTACGTGAACACTTGGTCCGAGAAGTTGACCAGAGTGAATATTAAGGTGATCATTCGTGAAATACCTGCACAACGTTGTTTCACTAAAGATAATGTGAGTGTGGTAATTACGTCCGTGGTGTACTATAACATCATTGACCCACAAAAGGCCATTTATTCGATTTCGGACATCCACAATGCCATCATTGAAAGAACCCAGACAACTTTGAGAGATGTAATTGGGTGCAGAGTGTTACAAGACGTGGTTGAAAAGAGAGAAGAGATTGCTGAATCGATCGAGGGTGTTATTGCCAAGACTGCATTCGATTGGGGTGTCAACATTGAATCTATTTTGATCAAGGACTTGCAATTACAAGAAAAGGTTCAAGCTTCGTTATCCATGGCTGCGGAAGCCAAGAGAATTGGTGAAGGTAAGATCATCAATGCTAAGGCTGAAGTTGAAAGTGCCAAGTTAATGAGAAAGGCAGCTGATATATTGGCATCGAAGCCAGCTATGCAAATTAGATATTTAGATGCTATGCAAAACATGGCCAAGTCGCCAGGTTCAAGAGTTATTTTCATGCCATCCGCTCAAGAAATTGAAAAGATGGCCGGTTCCAATGTGTCAAACGGAGCTGGTGAAATTACAAATGCTAGAAACTTAGAAGAAGACGTCGATTGGACATCGAATAACCCAACTGGGTCGGCTCCTCGTACTCAAAGACAACAGCATGTTGACACTTTGGCATTGCAAGAGGCTATGAGAGAAGATTAATTTTAATTCATCAGTGCATTGATTATAGTTCTACAATTATAGTTCTACATTACCTATTTTTTCATTGTTAATTTATTTGTGTGTTAATTTATTCATTTGTCATTCATTTATTCATAGTAATTTAATTATCATATCTATTCCAATATCGCCTCTTATATTCTCGAATATCATCTGGGGTAATGTTACTCTTGATTAGATTTTTCAACTTTTCTAGCAACTGATTTTTATCCCCCTTTTCGTTTGTTTTATAGTTAATTATATTTGTATTAAAGCCAGATTCTCGTGTAGATCTCATAGGTTCATTGATTCTATTCGTTCCGGAAAATATATTCGTCTCCTCGGGCAGTATATTCGTCTCCTCGGGCAGTATATTCGTCTCCTCGGGCAGTATATTCGTCTCCTCAGGCAGTATATTCGTCTCTTCTTGACTATCGTCTTGGCTTGTTGTAATGCTCCGAGAAATGTCATTTGGGTCACCTCGTCTCTCTCTAAATTGCAAAAGTTTCGAATAAAATTGTACATTATTAGGTTCCTCATCTTCAACATGCTCTTTCTCCCTCATTTTCAAAAGTTCTTCTTTTTGTCTCTTGTAATCCTCACTTTCAAACACCACGGCATCTTTGTTTCCTTCTATTTGTTTGCTGTTGTATTCTTGTCTTGATAGTATGCGATCTTTTTCTCGTTGCTTTTTCGAATCTAACAACTTATTGATATATTTCAGTCCTTCGACTCTCTTTCTCGGTAGATTTTTAGAATCTGGCTCCTCTACCTCGGATATTATTTCAACCATGTCTGTCTTATTATCATCCGCTAATTGCTTCGCTATCTTCTGTGATTTGGCTTGGATAGATTTTTCAAAATTCATTTCTTCCGTTTCTGAATCACTACTGCTCCCATTTTCGCCATTTTTAAACCCAAATCCACTGGCTCGTGCTTTCTTTATGACCGGTTTATTACCTGGTGCTTTTCTTTTCAAATTGATATTCATACTGTCCAATCTCTAAATTATATCATTTAAGTGAGCATTCTCTAATATAATTTTACATGCGCACATATTTGATGCTAGATGTTAAAATTAGTTCATTATCGACAATTGTATTTATATCAATCCACGGGTTTTCTACCATTAAAAACCTACAATCACCCTTCTAGTCTGAATATTTTGTTCGATAGTAAAAATTGAATATTATGAATGGTTCAGGTTTTGATTGGCTAAACATAGCATCAACTAGTAATAGTGGATCAAACTCTCCGGCACCGCCCGTCTCGTTTGGGTTTAACAGCAACAGTGATCTTAATTCCAGAAATAATGATGGGCCGTTTGATAGATCGAATAATGGTAATTCATACAAGTATTCCAATGCACTGGCGGATCAGTTGTCTTATTCGTCACCGTCGTATCCCAATAATCAGGGCAATATTGGAAAATATGAGGATGATGAAGCTAGTATACCACTCTCGTTAACTGCTCAGGAATTAACGTTGGAAGAATCTAAAACATATATGAGATGGTATAGTGATATACTAGCTCGAACAAATTCGAGGACAGTATCAATGAATGATGTGTTCAGTTTTTTACATAACTTTAAGATTTCGAATTCGATAAAGGACAAATTACGAAAACTATTCAATAAGATATTACATTCTATAAACATTGGGGAATTTTTTGCATTACTAAGATTGATCTCGCATGCCTTGAATGGGTTGGAACCAAGTCGGAAGTTAATCAAAGTGCAAACTTCAGTACCCACACCCCCTTCAATTTTAAGTAAGAAAAGACAAAGTGACGATGATGAAAGCAGCGATAACGATAACGATAATGATTCTTTACGACCAGAAGAACAAGATGAAAGCAAGCCGTTAGATTTAGACAGTTTTACCCAATTCATGTTGACAGGTGAGAGGCCAGGAGAGGTCAATCATAAAAAGAAGAAATCGAAGAAGGCAAAGTCAGTTAAATTTTCGGATCAAATTGTAACCGATATCCACGATTCGGTGATACTAAACTCACCAATTCCTTCTCCTCAACCTCAACAGATCGATTATTCGTTGCCAATGGATCAATTGTTAGGTAGAATCAACCAATCACAATCGGGGCAGCAGCCTGCCCCGCAAAACGATGAAGAGGAACGTGAAATTTTGAAAGACATGGAATCCCAAATAAATCATTTTCAAAATTTACATTCCGTCGATACTGCATCGATAGATGGTGTTCCGGCAAATATTCATTTCCACGATGGCTACAGTCAGGATAACTTATTGGCACCTAACAATACAGGCCCAGCACAGATGGCTAGATTTTTCAGCCCATCGCCTCAACCTGACCAACAGCAACTGCGTGAATATTTGAAGCCCAATATGACTGGACCTGCGCAGATAGCTAGATATTTGAGCCCGTCTCCCCAGCCAGATCAGCAAAATCAACAGCAGCAGGCATATTTAAAGCCTAATATGACTGGGCCTGCCCAAATATCTCAAATGTATAATAGGAACTCCATTGATAATAGAAATGATGAAGCTACTTCACCAATGCCGCATGTTTCAGATCCTAGCGATATGGCCAAGTTATTTGCTCCAGACAGCTCGGATACTGAATCGACACCTAAGATATCATTACAATCATTCACAAACCAAATGACAGGCAATACATTATCTAACACGCTTCAAAACTCGCGGGTTGCAGAGAATGGATCGCCATCAAAAATAGGTACATCGTATAATAACCGATCGTTACCTCCACCTCCTGTCCCAAACAATAGAAGATCAAGATCAGTATCTTCCCCAACACCAAGAAATAGTTCCCCTGCATTTCAGCTGTCTACCAATAATGATACGAATTATACCACCAACCATCTAGGCACCGTGAACAACTATTCGGCACCACTTCCACCTGTTCCCCCAAGATCTCCTCCATCAAATAGCACAACTAACGGGACGAATAGCAAGAGACCAGTACCTCCCCCACCTCCTCCATCGAGGAAAAGAAACACATCGACAGGTATGAACAATATGGCATCCAGCTCTCCTCCCCCTCCATTACCACCCAAGGTGTCTTTGAACGGTCAGATACAAGAAGACGAGGCTTCAGGAATGTATGCCAATAACTCCAATAATGATAGCACCGCCAATATATTAGACGATTTAAAAGCATTGCAGGAGGAAGTTGATAAAATTAGAAACATGACTGGTGGGTTCTAGTCATCTCTTGTTTCTAGTATACTATTATAAACTATATAGAATGTCACATACACGCTAGTACATTTTCAATCAGTTTTTCTCAATGTATAAGATGTAGCAAAGTACGGCCGACCTAACAAGCACTAATAGCATCTACCAAATATTTGTTCTTGAAACTTAGGGTCTAGAATTACTAATCTCTGTGGTATAATTACAGTACCAAAAAATGGAATAGGCCTTGCCTTTTGGGTGAAGACATTAGTACATATGTTAATCTTACATCACCAATTTTTATTTTTCATTCCTTCAAATATCAATAAATTTTGAGACAAGATTAGACAACAAACGGATGCCTGCTTTTATGATGGTGAGAAATTTACATCTTGCTTCTATTAGCTACAGGAAATAAGAGAGACGTATATTATACTTCAATTAAAACCCTACTTCGTTGTAGTTGTAGTTTTCGTATCGTGCGACTCGAAACTCATTTCAGCAAGCTTAACCTCAGAGGAAGTATTTGCATCCTCTTCATCATTATGATCAGTATCAGTTTTATCATTAACTGCAACTTGCATTTCAGCACTTTGAGCACTTTCAGCATCTTCCTTTTTACTAGTAGACCTATTCACCCCAAATATGCTATCAAGTGACTCAAGGTCATCCTGTTTGCTTGCTTCGCTGCATGGGAACTTCGATAATCCAAAGTCAATTAAGGTAATTTTACCTGATTCTGAAACATGAATGTTGCTCCTCCGTATATCATTATGCGAGATTCTCAACAGATGGAGTTCCTTGAGCCTTAATCTAATAAGTTTATAAATCTTTTCCTCGTCCCACTTTTCCCTTGGTATTTCTGCTCCTAAATATTCAAATATATGCATTGGATGGTCAGTAAGCCCATTCCAATACCCTGAAGCAAAAAGCTTTGGAAAATTCGAAGCAAACTGTGATTTTGCGATTTCTTCATTAATTACAACTTCATTGAAGAACATATCATAGTAACTTTTTCTATCAGGAATACTAAAACATGTCAAATCATTCTGTCTCCATAACCGACTAGAGTAGTAGTACAATTTGACAAACACTGTGNATGGGAGCTGCACTGACAAACTAGGATAACATTTTGCAGAATCGGAAATTACGCGACAATATGTGTTGCCATACATTTTTTCCTGGATTTCATGGACGTTTTCCTTATCAGCTTCTTCAGTCATTGTATCAAATGATCTCCTTGAAGAGTCTCTTAGAGATTTAGGACGCACGTTAAGTAACGGGCCCAGCTTCTTGGCCGTGTGCGCTATATTAATCTCTCCTTTTAACCTGTTTTGAGTCTCAATTGCATCATCCTCTGTTTGGTAGAAAAAGCCTGCCATTGCCAACCTTAAGGTAATTCCATGTGCAACGGTTTCTGGTTCATTAATGATATAGTAGTCTACGGACATTTGGCCTTCTTCAATATCATACTTGAAAACCCCTGAAAATGATTGATGGTTCGACATTAAAACCCGATTTTTGCCACAGAGAAAAGCATCGTAAAATTAATATACTTAGAACTAAAGCAAATAACATGCCAGGGTTCCAATGCGTATCTTGATATAAGTATTCTGCTTGTTGATCCATTCGCCTAAAGTCTTCTATAGCTACTTTAAATTCCTCAAATCCTTGTGATAAATAGTAGTTTTCTGTTTTGTAATCACCTAACCCGAAACAGATTTCTGGAAAGCGTCCATCCTCTGATTCGTATTCAGCGAAATGGATAATATCAGGCTCTACAAATATATCTGTATTCAAACGTGGTCTTAAATATGAGGCGATTCCAAATCTATGATGTGGACCACAAATATCTCGGTAAAGGTCTTGGATTGGCCAGGATATTGTATTACAGTATTCTTGGATATGATCCTCCACATGTTGAGGATTTCCCAAAGGATAACGATATGAACGCAGTATGGGCCAGATAGAGAACGTTTGCCCCCTGATACTAGTTTCAAGAGGAACAAGATAGCTATATGCCTAATATATGTATACCTATGTTGTCTATTAGGATGTAAGGAAACTGGGTACTATAAGGTAATTACTTATACTTATAATCTGTATATTATATATATGTTCTAATAGACCAAATAGAACTTACTTACTTTATTCTTAGCTAACTAACTAACTTTAACTACCTATGATTAGTTCCTAATTTCCTTGATCTTTCTTCTGAGACTTCAGGAATAATCTACTCTATTTATACACCAACTTTTGCAACCATGATGTATAACTTTTGCAACACTATACATATACTTAAGTATATGTATATGCGATCTCTTACATAGGAATTAGAAGTGGCTTCACTAGCTCAGTTGGCAGAGCGTCAGTCTCATAGTTAATTAACTGTGTCATCTGAAGGTCGACAGTTCGAACCTGCCGTGGAGCATTTCTTTTTTTGGATGATTTTATTTTTATTACACAAAACGTGTTTTGTGGTTTTTGGAAATTGTCTTGTTTACATTTGGATGTATATACTCTTTAGCATACATAGTTAAAGATTAACATCACTAAGCATTGTATATAACCATATACACAAACAATAATTCAAATATTTGTACTCTCAGTCTTATTTAACTCAATAGTCACTTAAGGGAAAGTTTGAAATATTAAAAGGCTATTTAAATTCACACAGAAGTTTATCCTTTATCATCAGCATCAATCGCTCAAAAATCCATTAGTTATATCACATATGCTATACTTACATATTGAGATATAATGCCCCTTAATGATATAACGCCATCCAGCAATATACCGAAGCTGTCTAATGGTAAGAAGCGTTTTATGGACGCACAAGATGACGATAATACATTTTTACCACCGGCTTTAAGTTCATATAGCATAGCATTATTAAATGAAAGAACGAAACAGCTGCCCTCGCATATAACTGGGATCTATGAATTCGACTTTCCCAATAGTAAGTCGAAGAATAACTTGAAAAACAAACTATCAGTTCATTTTAGAGAATCAGATCCAATTCATACTATAGAAAAATCAAACACGCCACATTCAAGTCATAATAATAATTCAGCACCAATGGAACCTACTAATAACGCGAACAATAATAAAAGCTATAATGCCGGCCATAATGCCACGACAATTACTAATTCACATACGCAGAATCAAAGTAATGTTTCAGCTCACAACTCATTCAATTTGTCTACAAATAATTTCAGTTCACATACGCATAATACAACTTCAGAGTATAATGACGATTTAATGGATATATCGCCACATGAATCCACGTCGAGAAATTCATCCAATCATACGCCGTCCACTACATTTAATGAAAACCCTCCACTAAGTTCATCCTCCCAAACAAAATCGAGCGTTCCAGAAGTTCATACTTTAAAGAGAATGAGAGGGACAAGAAGATTTGGAAGGATGTTAGGTCCACCCAAAAGAGCCATGAAATCGAATGAAGATAGAAGTATACAAGCTGAATATGACGGTATATCTAGTAATGATCATAATGACTTCCAGATCCCACATGATAGGGCCGCTTCTATTAACAATGATAACAACAATGATAATAATAATAACAATAATAATAATACTAATACTAAGAATAATAATAATGCATTATCAACTCCTCCTCCCTTATTCTCGATGGACTTTTCACCAAAAATAAATCGCATAGATAACTTGAAGGAGAAAAATCCCGAATCAGTGTTTTTCAAAACGTTGAAAAAGATGAAATCTGAATCTCCAGAAGATGATATCATTTCAAAGCAAAAAGAATCTGAATTACGAAGACGAATTGATGAACAGAAGAGGATAAACGAAATAGAGAGCCAGTTATCCAAATCTAAAAGTATTCAAGATATTGAGATGGAGATAAGTGAATTGAACAATTCAAGGAATGAAGCAAATGACATACTGGATAAAAGAGCGTTTATTTCTTCATATTTGGCAGATACAAAGGAGGAAAGAAATAAGGAAAAAAATAAGGAAAACGTAATTCTCTCGACCTCAAAGGATTCAAGTATATCCGTAAAGAATGAACAGCCAAGATTGCCATTAAATAATGTGTCTCCTAACCGTCTTAACGGTGTTGCAGCTGATGAAGCAGATTTCAGAAAACCTAAATTGCCTAAACCTATTTTACAACAAGCAACAACCTCAAATGTGACCCCTCCAAGTAGTTCCGATGATTATAAAAGGAAGAAATGTATTAGCATAAATGGAAATCAGTATGAAAAATTGGAGCTATTGGGTAGAGGTGGTTCGTCGAAAGTTTATAAAGTCAAATCTTTGTCCAACAATAAATTATTTGCTATAAAAAAGGTTACATTTGATCAATTTGATGAATTATGTGTACAAGGATTCAAAGGAGAGATTGATTTATTGTTGAAATTAAAGGATGCTGATAGAGTAGTTAAATTAGTTGATCATGCTATTGGTGAAGGCTCTATTTATCTAGTGATGGAATGTGGTGATATTGACTTGGCGCATGTCTTTCAGAATAAACTTAGCATGAATAATGTCTTGGATATGAACTTTGTTAAGTACCATTCAATAGAGATATTAAAATGTGTTCAAGCGGTGCATAGAGCAGGAATAGTTCATAGCGACCTTAAGCCTGCGAATTTCTTATTTATTAGAGGTATTTTGAAAATTATTGATTTCGGAATAGCTAATGCTGTGCCGGATCATACAGCGAATATTTACCGTGAATCTCAAATAGGTACACCAAATTATATGGCACCCGAAGCATTGGTTGAAGTTAGTCAGGCTTTTCCAGGGTTACCAACGCCAGATAACAACAATAATCAACAACAGTTAAATGGACTGCAAAGAAACACATGGAAAGTTGGAAAGCCATCTGATGTTTGGTCATGCGGTTGTATAATATATCAAATGATTTATGGAAGGCCCCCATATGGTGGATACTCTGGAAATCAGAGAGTAATGGCAATCATGAATCCGCAGGTAAAGATACAGTATCCAGGTAAAGGCATAGGTAATATAAAGGTTCCTCAAAGTGCTATCGCATTGATGCAAAAGTGCTTAACTAGGAATCCTAATGAAAGATGGACTGTTGAAGAATGTTTAAACAGTGATTTTTTGAATCCTAAGATTGTCAGTGAAACTTTTGTCAGAGATTTAGTTCATCTGGCTGTTAATTTTGGCCATAATAACCGTGTTAATGGCAACGGGTTGATTACAGCAGACGTTTATGATCGCTTAGTCGATACCGTATTGAAACAAATAGAGGATTTGAATTTTGGTTAATTTTTAATAATGTACTTTTACTATTACAATGTATAAATGTATATAGCATCTTTTATTGGTCAATTGACTATTTAATAATAAGGAAACTTTGAACTTTAATAATAATGTAAAAAAGGAGAAATATGGTCTATTCTTTTTATACTGGGAAGAAGAGAAAAATGTCATTTCATATTCAGAGTAATAATAATATACAAGAAAATAAGTAACAATGATTAACGAGGTCCTAATTTTTCTAACACGCGAGTTCCTTGTTCTTCCCATTCTTGCTTCGAGATCCACATATGCTCTTTATCTGCCATAATATTAGCTAAAACCGCACCACCGATAAACACCATATGTCTTCTTCTTGGGGGGTCTTCAATTCTGACCTTAAACTTTTCCAATCTTGTGGCATCACCACGTAATACCTTGGTTAACCATAATTGCTTCAATTCTTTTTCTAAACGTGATGGTAAACCAGGATACATAGAAGATCCACCAGATAAGACGATAGCTTTAAAAAGAGACGTTCTAACGTCAACGTCTGCTGATTGAATAGTATTAAATAATGTTTCACCAACCCCTGGTTGTTCAACATCAACTAAATTTGGTTGAAATAAACATTCTGGTGCTTCAAATCTTTCAGATCCAACCTTAATAACTCTACCATCAGGTAATTCATATGACTCTACCAACGTAGTAGTATCGCGTGCAAGCTTTGCATCAAGATCTAAGTCGTAAGAAACATAGCACAACTTTTCTTTTATTTGACGAACAGTCTCAAAATCGGCTGTTCTGTTGAATGCATAACCACGACGTAACAATAAGTTAATCAAGTTCCTGGTGACGTCTCTACCGGCGACGTCCAATCTCTTGGTCAAATGGTTCAAAACAACCGATTCGTACACCGGAACAATATGTGTCACCCCATCACCAGAGTCGACGACTACACCCGAACTCAACCCCTGAGCATACAAGGCTAAGACAGCTTGGATTGCTACATAGACACCTCCAAATTGATATTTTTCAAACATAACGTCACACATTGTTTCTCTATTCTTCAATGGATTCATTGGTGGTTCCGTTAACAAGATCTTCTCTCCCTGCGTAGGTAACTTCATTCTTTCGTAAAATGCATAATCCCACAAGTGTTCCATATCTTCCCAGTTCTTGATGATTCCATTTTCCATAGGATAGCTAATTTGTAACAATGATCTTACTTCACTAGCTTCTGACCCACACATAATATCTTTAATTTCTATATTGTCAGGAACCAACATATTTCTTTCTTCGGCTCTCAATATAGGCCTACCAACTATAGATGGAAACGTGTGGTCTGGGAAGTTAGTTCCTGCCCTACCGATCTTAACGAAACCTGTACCTTGGTCAAGAACTATTTTTCATATTGTTAGTGAATCACATTTTTTAATGGGAATTAATCAGAATATCACGCTCATACATACCAATTGGCTGTCCATTCATCTTTTTAGTCTTCTATTTTGTCGTCTTTATATAATCTAAATCAAATTAGAAGTAATTGACATTGGAACAAGTTCTTGATATCAGGGTACGTAATGACAAAGGAGTTAAATGGGATTTGTGGTACGCGCACTACTCAGTATTATAGTACTACTAGTGTCTATTAGATACATATAAGGGACTATTATACAGAGGTGTTGAATCTTACATTAGGATTCATGTAGGCAAAGGTCAAATATGAAGTATGGCTCTTGATTTCGGATTCAATTTTAGTAACATTTCTCCATTGGAACTGTTCATCACCTTCTCTAACTCGCAAACCCTTTCCGAATGGATTAAAGCCTTTACCCAAGTTCTGAAACTTGGTTGGTTCGGGAGAAGAGTCATCAGCTGTTTCCACTTCCTTGATATCTCTCTTATCGCCCACGTTGTGGATTTTGCTATGTTTTCTATGTTCAATGCCTTGGTTTTTTCTCGATTGTATATCCTTCAATCTCTTAACTACGTCCTTGACATCCTTCACCATATCCTTCCTAGCCTCCCATCTCCTACCGGCGACTTCTACCATTTCGATATTGCTCCACCCTTCGGTTTCCAACGCTTTGACGGTTTTCTCGACTTGTTCGATGCACGGAGAGAAGCAACAGATACCCACACGGCTCTGCTGGGAAATAACACTCTTCAAGTTAGGAATGGCGGTCCACGGAGACGGCAAATCAAGGAATACCACATCGCCGCAGATTCCGTTGTCTTTTTTGAAATCTTCCGGTATGTTCAGGATTTCAAATCCGTCGTTGCAAACGTCTCTATGCGTGATAACTGTATTTGCTAACAATCCATGGTCTTCGAGTTCTTTCTTAGCCTCTATGTAACGTGGCTCGTGAAACTCGTATGTGAATAGTCTTCCCTCTACTCCAACTGTTCTGGCAAATGAATGAGAGAAAGATCCAGACCCTGTTCCGGCCTCAATGACTCTAGTTCCACTGGTAACATTCAATCTCTGTATGATGTACGACGAATCTGGAGTATACACAATTTGTGTTCTATGCGGTAAAGAAACAGTCCAGAGTTCTGGGGTAGGATACAACAAGTGGATAAACCCAACTCCCTTGGCGCCAGGCATTTGCTCACCATATTTCATCCCAATCATTCTATCATGTTCGAAGTTACCATATCTGGTATTCAACTGTGATCCCTTAGTGACGGTGATAGGCTTAATATTACTTCGACCAAGGAACGCCAATACTAGGTCTCCTTCCTCTATTATATCTTTGTACTCAAAAAATGACATGGCCGCTATACTATTGCCTTTAAGATGTTCCTACTACCATCTTTTACATCCATAATAAATAATTTTCACATCATCAAGATGGATGTACTGCACATAGTGTGTATTCCATTCTCCAACTACCTTACCTATCCAGTGCATAATAAAGCCCGTATTATCCCAGAGTACCTGTAGACTGATAGCACAGTGTGTATTGACTTTTGTTGGAGCTTTTTGCAGTAGATACAAAGGCTCTATGGCATTCGAAAGACCCGTATAGAAGCACCACACTTCACTCTGAGACTAACCCTTTCAGATGTCGATTTCACAAGCAGCAACAACAACTGCCCATATTGGCTAATGATCAAAGCGACTTTAATGGCCTTGGACTGGGCTTTGCTGAAGCCCAATTCCCTAATAACGTCGAACCAACTTCATTTGCAGTAATTAGATAAGGTCGTGTATTTGTTACCAAAAACTACAACGAAAATTTGAACAATCGTTGACTGAACCTTTAGAATGAACTCCTTCAATAAGGTTAATTAATATTGTGAATATTGAATCAAAGTACTTGCAAAGTAAAAGCCATTGGCGATTGAATATTTTATTTACATATATTTGAACTACAAATAAATTTATTGTAATGTCTAGCTCGCCAATACCACCGCAACAATCACAGCAACAAGCGGACCCAATGGCGCCAAACGTTGAAGACTTATATCTTGAATCATATGCATTTACTACTGCAGCTGCTATTGTTGGGTCTGTTGATAGGAAAATATTTGTTTTATTGAGAGATGGAAGAAATTTGTTTGGGATTTTAAGAACATTCGATCAGTTTGCTAATTTAGTGCTACAAGATACCATAGAGAGGATCTACTTGGATTCTGACGATGAGACCGACGATTCGCGTCCAAAGAAGTTTGGTGAAGCGTATAGAGGTGTTTTCATGGTAAGAGGTGAGAATGTTGTCATGATGGGAGAATTGGACATTGACAGAGAAGACGATCACTTGGAAGAATTGCAACAAGTTTCTTTCGAAGAGGCCGAAAAGGAGTTAAAAGTTCGTCATCTGAACAAAGTGAAACAAGAAAAGCTCAAAACTAAGAAATTATTGTCAAAGGGACTTATTAATGATTTTGTCAAATCTGATTTGTATTAATAATTTCACTTCTTGCATTGTATGACTTGTATAACTCCTTCTTTTCTTCACCTTATTTAATTCACTAGATATATTTAGTTTGACGTCTACATTTTGGTTGTTTTTTTTTTTTTTTGGCACTCATGCATTTCTTCTCTTCACGTAATAAATAAGACAAGAGACCGATATTATTTCATGTAATGGCATATATATATATATATAGTCTAGGTGTTTATAACTTTGACAAGTTCTTCAAGTTTTCGTCAAATTTGGCAAAGAATTCGTCTGCAAATTTGAACTTTTTGGCTTCCTGTCTTGCTAATTGGTTTAAATGAGCTTCATCAGGACCATCAGCGATTCTCAAAGTCCTAGATATGGCATATAACCTGGCCAATTCGGTATCTTGTGATACCCCTTCAGCACCAAACATTTGAATACCCCAGTCCAAGATTTTCAAGATAGTTCTTGGAGTTTCAATCTTAGCCATAGCGATTTCTTGTTGAGCGCTCTTCGGGTTCAGAATATCGATCTTATGAGCAGCATTCAAAATCAAAAGCCTGCATTTCTGTATATCAATCTTATGCTGAGCATAGGCAGTAATAAACGTTTCTCTTTGGTTCATTGGCTTACCAAAAATCATTCTGTTGTTGGCTCTATGCGCAACTGCAAGTAATGCATACTCCCCAACTCCAATTAATCTCATACAATGGTGGATCCTACCAGGTCCTAAACGGGATTGAATCAATTCGAACCCCTTACCCTCAGATGCTAGTAAGATATTTTTCATTTCGTCCTTTGGAACCTCGTAGTCATTGAACGCAATTTCACAATGGCCATGGGGGGCATCATCGTACCCAAACACAGTCAACGGACGGATCAATTTGGCTTTCCCCGAATCAATTGCCTTCTTAGCATCCAATACCAACACTGAATGATTGTGGTATAAATCTTTCGCGTTATCACTAGTCTTACACATCACTAACCACACGGCTGTCCTGGGGTCTCCAGCACCAGACGCAAACCACTTTACACCATTAATAACGTAATTTCCGCTTGAATTCAATTTAGCCGTACATGAAATATTCAACGCATTCGACGAAGACGTCCCTTTTTCTGTCATCAAGAAGGCTGATCTGATTTCGCCGTCTAACAACCGATTCAACCATTTTTCCTTCTGGTAAGGCGTACCGTATCTTGCAAACAACTCCATATTACCCGTATCTGGCGCATTGGTGTTAGTGGCCTCCGGTCCCACAAATGACCGTCCCAAGTATTGTGCCATCAACCCGTACTCCAAATTGGTAAACCCTGGACCCTCGGGGTAATGTTTGGACAAAAACATGTTCCAGAGGCCCAATTCCTTGGCCTTCTTCTTGAGTTTTTCCGTGATCTCTGGAATAACCTTCCATCTCGTAGCTGGATCATTTGACATCTGCTGGGCATGCAACTTGTCCCCTGGAAGACAATAATCATCCACAAACTCTTTACATTTTTGGATTGTTTCTAATCCTCTTGGCGATAATTTGTCCAAGAAAATAGCCGGTATATCTTCCTTAACTGACATCGTGATTCTTTTCTTTATATATCTCAATTCCTATCGAAGAAGAGCTAGTTCCTTAGCCTTTTATAATTATGTCCCATCCACCCCACACATTTTTCACAATTCGTAACCTGTAAATTGCATATGACCCGAAACCGAGGTGTTTGCAGGTTAGTTCCCAATCAGAATATCATCAAATATTCGCCTTCACTATGGAAAGCAAGGACTCTGAATTGATATACAGCCATTACGTTGAATTAGTATACAATAGAGTTACTTGATATATAAGATGGAGTATTTTGAATCAGATGTTCCAAATATCCCTGATCATAGGTTATCAGAAAAACAATTTCTTTTAAGTACGAATATCGATGCTCGCCACCGAGAGGAAATCATGAATGAATTGGTTGAATCGATCAAGGAAGAGAATTTAGCACCATACTATAAATATTTACAAGGTGAGTACAGTGATTTTCCATTTGACGAATCAGTGTACAAATCGATGGTTGAAAAAAATGAAGAGGAGATTGCACAATTAAACCTGAAGATCAAGGAAGCAGAGGGAGAGGAAGAAACAGAGCTCGATGCATTGACTTGTAACGTCAATCTTGCGGAATATTATACCAAGATCTGTGATAGACAGAATGCGGTGGTTACTTTCAAAAAGGCGTTGGAATTGCCGCAAGGTACCGGGTCTAAGATCGACATTTTATTGTCTTTAGCAAGAATTGAGTTCTTTTACAATGACTATGCGTTAGTGTCCAAGTATTTGGACCAGGTCAAGGGCCACATAGACAAGGGTGGTGACTGGGAACGTCGTAACCGTTACAAGACGTACTGTGGTATCTTCTTGATGGCTACCAGGGATTTCGCTGAAGCGTCTAAATTATTGAACGACTCGTTGGCTACTTTCACATCGACCGAAATCTGTAGTTACGAGCAACTTGCGCTCTATGCCCTGGTATCTGGTGCCGTGTCGTTAGACAGAGGCGATTTGAAATCGAAAATAATCGATTCTCCAGAGATCTTATCCATCTATTCATCAGCACCAGAATTGGAACCGCTCATCAACTTAACCAATTCCTTATACACATGTCAATACAACTGCTTTTTCCAATATTTGCTCGAATCGTACGACAAGTTGTTACTTTCAAGCAAGTATTTGAACCAGCATGCCAACTATATATTGCGTGAAATGAGATGCAAGGCATACGGCCAATTGTTGGAAAGTTACAAGTCCTTATCTTTAAAGTCAATGGCCCGTAATTTCAACATCAGCGAGGAATTCTTGGATCAAGATTTATGCAAATTCATTCCTAACAAAAAGTTGAATTGTACCATTGACAAGGTCAACGGGATCATTGAAACGAACAGACCCGATAACAAAAACAATCAGTATCACTTGTTGATCAAACAAGGTGATAACTTGTTAACCAAATTACAAAAATACGGTGCTGCTGTCAAGTTAAGTGGTGCTGAGCGTGTTGCGTAATTATATCTTTTCTTCTCGATTACATAGTTAGATAGAATAGATTTCATTATTAATAACTGAGATTTTGTAGCCATGTATTTAGAGTTGCATTCTGTTTGTTACGATCATTGAACGCAGAAAAAAATAATGAAGGATGCGAGGTTCGAACTCGCGCGGACAACTGTCCAGCAGATCTTAAGTCTGCCGCCTTAGACCACTCGGCCAACCCTCCAATAATAAATGTTGTTTGCTTGCATTCTTTAACACCATTAATAGCTGATCATTTTTCACATTCAAGACCCCACAGAAAAAAAAACTCGTTTTAGCTTATGATATTTACTCTAATCCGTCAATATTTTTGCACTGCCCTGGATCGAAGAGCATCAAGATTCAGCACATGATGTATAAATTAGAATTAAAACGTATGTAGCGCAATCGTAGAGAAATGGTTGAAAAATGCTCGGTTAAACTTTTTTGACCCTTCACTTACAATTGCTATATCTACTACAATATAACTAAGTGTTTAGCATTGTATACAACGATAATAACTTAGGGATATGCTACTACCGTTTGTAGAAAGGGCTATATGTGAAAGGAAATTACAGTGGGCTAAGTACCTGCTTATAGCATCTGTTTTTTCACACGAGCCTCCAGGATATCGCAATCACATGAAGAATTATCCGACTCTGTAGACAATGATATAAATATGGCAACTTCCCATGAAACGAAGTGATAATTAACTAAACTTCTTACTCGATTGTATATCTAATATTCATTTTACCTTCATACAGATAAATCAATATGTCCAAGTCTAGAGAAGAACTTATTGCCCAATACCAAACTGATAACTTCGAACTTTTCTCGTTAGAAATCAATGTTGAAGGATTCGACCAAGGTCTCAAGTTTTCCCAAGATATGGAAAAAATGCCCCAAGAGCTCTTTTTCTCGATCCCAGAATACTCAACATATACCGTCACTATCCAATACAGAGTCAAAAATACCCCTATCAAGAAATTGAATTACTACGAAGTGGTTAAGAAGGGTGGTATTCCACTTAAGACCCGTAAACAATTCGTCGCCGACGAAGCCCAACCAACTGAAGAGTACCAAACCGTTACCTTCCCTCCTGACAAGATTCCAGGTGGTATGTTACTTAGAGGTACCTATCCAGCCACCTCCACCTTCTACCAAGACGGTAAGGAAATCATTACCTGTCCATTCAGCTTGGCAATCGTCAAGAAAGGTGTTACTCCATCTATCAAGGAATAGAGAGATCTACACTACGTTGATTCTCGAGCCAGAAGTCTACTTCTTTAACACCCTTATATTGTTCCAAATGATTGTTTTTTACGTATGGGTCTCGAGGCTCGTATGCACTGGAGGCATCCCGGTAAATATAGACCATTTATAGCTTGAATATATCCATATAACGTATTCTATGAAATTTGTAGTAGTTGTCTTGGTGTATGACTGGGCCATATTTCTGTATGTGCACGTGATTCTCTCCTCAGCTTCCCTTGCAACATTTAAGCACGCAAATAGCAAGACCTCAGGAGACTTAAGAAGAATTATATATTTATTGTAAGCTCTTTAATTCGAATAAACAGTTTTTGCTGGTTCCACTGTCACCTTTTACGTTTAAGAATAGTAGGTACTAATCAAAGTTAAAAAAAATTAGAAAAATGAGTTCTCCGAAGAGACGTATTGAGAAAGACGTAATGGATCTAATGATGAGTGACCATGATGTTGCCCTCATTGACGATTCCATTCAGCAGTTTCATGTTATTTTCCATGGACCATCGGATACACCGTATGCTGGAGGTACTTGGAAGATCAGAGTCGAGTTGCCAGATCAATATCCTATAAAGTCGCCATCGATCGGATTTATCAATAAGATCTACCATCCTAATATCGATGAAACGTCGGGATCGGTTTGTCTTGATGTAATTAACCAAACATGGTCACCGATGTTCGGGTTATTGAATATTTTTGAAAACTTCTTGCCACATCTCTTGAGATATGCCAATCCGAGTGATCCATTGAACACCGAAGCATCTACATTAATGACCAAAGATGAGAAAAAGTATAACGAAACGGTTAAGGAGTATGTGACACGGTATGCCAAAAATGTTTCGAATGACGATGAAGATAATGACGATAACAATGATTCTGATGATGATGATGGCGAGTTGAGTGATGTTGGGAGCTTATCGAGTGACGATGAAGATCACCATAATGGGGTTGCCGGTGAATTCGAGTTGTAGCTTTCTTAATTATCAGGATAATGTAATCGGGTTATTTCTTCGTAAGCTGTGTGTTGTGGCTTATTGTTTTTATCTCTGTTAGTGAGTCACATTTATCCATGATAATATTGTGACGGATATACGTAATGCCATTAATAGAAGCTGTGTTTAGGCTTATATAAATATATAGAAATATGTTTTTAGCATCCAATCGTACATGATAAGAATAAGAATACGTCTACATTGAATCGGAATGCGGAATAGGCAATTCATCCTTTTGATCTAAGTATGCATCTTTTTCTCTAAGATCTTTATATGGAGCCCACTTCATATCGAACCATCTCCACGTTTCGGATATCCATTATTTAAAGTCTTTTGGAAGGCTCGTATGGCTCCATTACTTCAGACCGGGATTATAAACCTCTCGAGGTAACTTCTGATATCCTTCCCTTCTTTCTATTTATCTGGCAGACTTTTCTTAGCAGCTACCATTCTATTCCGTACTCGCACCAAAATTATTTATATCTAAATAGGATGATTGCAGCAAAATAATTTCTCTTCTTATTCAATTATTATGAATAAAAGTTATATATTCATCCAAGCAAGTGTATTGTAATATAATCCATAACACAGTATATTGTCCCTGGTTCAAGCTATTTTAACCTTTTTTTTTTTTTTTTTCATTAATTCATTTAAAACATGTTGACAACAAAAAGACTCTATTACATGCGATGATAATCCTAAAAGATAACAAAAGTCAGAATGATGATTTCTGGCACGATGACAACCTTTCTTACCACTTAATGCCTTTATAAAGCTTATCTCCTTGTATCTGATTGTATCTTCTTGTTTATGGGTAGGGCCATAATAGGTTACACAAAGATAATGTTAACTATATAGGCATTATCGGATAGCAATGCTGCACTACAATTTCAGGAATTGTATAGACCCTTTAAACTACTCAAAATTCTACAATTATGTTACGGAATTCTGTGTCCAACATTGTCAAAGCGACACATACTAGAAGATTGTACTCTACGTATGATTCTTCTTCCAAAGTCTTGTCCAGCTTAAAGAACCAAGATCTCATCAGAACTCAAGGATATATTAATGGTCAATGGGTTGATAGCAGTGATAATTCCACGTTCGAAGTTAATAATCCTGCCTTAGGATCTGGAGCAGGTGCAACGATCGCTGATGTGTCTTCCATGACAACAAAGGATTATGAAAGAGCTATTAATTCTGCCCAAGACGCATTTAGTGATTTCAAGAAGACTACAGGACGTTACAGGAGTGGTTTACTTATGAATTTATATAGATTAATGCAAGAAAATCAAGATGATTTGGCCAAGCTTATAGTGCTTGAAAACGGGAAACCATATGCTGATGCATTTGGAGAAGTAGCTTATGCAAGCTCTTTCTTCCAATGGTTTGCAGAAGAAGCACCAAGAGTTTACGGTGATATAATCCCTTCAGCCTTGGCTAACAGTAAAATCTTAGCAATGAGGCAACCTATTGGGGTATGTGGCATATTAACTCCTTGGAATTTCCCGGCTGCAATGATTACCAGAAAATTGGGTGCTGCAACTGCTACTGGTTGTACTACTATAGTCAAGCCAGCTTCTGAAACACCATTATCTGCTTTGGCTTTAGCATATTTGGCGGAACAAGCGGGTTTCCCGAAAGGTTCCGTTAATGTTTTGCCATCATCTGATGCTGCTGGAGTTGGTAAATTAATGTGTGAGAATCCAACCATAAAGAAGGTTTCATTTACAGGGTCAACTAATGTTGGTAAGCTTTTGATGTCTCAATCTTCGTCTACTTTGAAGAAATTATCAATGGAGCTCGGTGGTAATGCACCTTTTATCGTTTTTAACGATGCGGATATCGATAAAGCAGTCGACGGAGCAATTGGTTCAAAATTCCGTTCTTCTGGCCAGACATGTATTTGTGCAAATAGACTTTTCGTTCATGAATCTATCTATGATGAATTTGCTTCCAAATTGACTAAAAAATTATCGGAAACAGTGAAATTAGGTAACGGCTTAGCTGACGGAACAACACATGGGCCACTCATCCATGGTAAATCTATGAATAAAGTGAGATCACATATTGAAGATGCAACGTCTAAAGGGGCTAAGGTTTTACTTGGGGGTAATAAGCGTGAAGACCTTGGAGTGAATTTCCATGAGTTAACAGTCCTTGGTGGTGTCACACAAGAGATGGATATCTTCAATGAAGAAACTTTTGGTCCGGTAGCACCCTTGATTAAATTCAAGTCTGACGAGGAAGTCCTTAGCTTAGCAAATGATACCGATGTTGGATTAGCAGGTTACTTCTACTCTTCAAATATCAATAGGATTTTCAAGGTTGCCGAAGAGTTACAAGTTGGAATGATTGGTGCAAACACTGGTGCTATCTCTGAGTCAGCATTGCCATTTGGTGGAGTTAAAGAATCTGGATTTGGAAGAGAAGGCTCCAAGTATGGCATTGATGATTATACTATTGTAAAGAGTGTTGTATTAGGTGGGTTGGATTGAAATATAATAAAAATATATGGAAACTTTATTTATATAAAAGATAATATATAAAATGTTATAAAATTTTATATAGTTTATGTTACATTCAAATTATTAATTATACGCTGTCTATGCCAATAGCTCTACAATATATTAGTAATAATTTCCTTGAGGTGGTGAATTATGGAATGGTTGATTGGGGTAAGCAGTATTAACGTTGTTATCTTGAGTCGAAGGAGATGGCGTTACCTGGTAGTTTGACACTGGTTGGACAACTGGGTTTTGAAAATTTTGTTGTTGAGTCACTTCTGGTGTTGCATTATTACTATTATCCAAAACCATTGGCACTTCACTCGGAGTTTTAACTTGGACTGGTGCTGATTCCCCAACCGGTTGTGGCATCGATTCTTCTGGTTGCTGAACAATCAGTTTTCTTTCATAAGCCGAGAGGTCTGGATTCTCCACGTCTTCAAATTTACTTACCTTAACACCAGGAATTTCGGCTTGTTTTATGGTGGAATAGTTCTTATTGCTGATATTGATACTCTTCGTTGGGTTTTCACTCTCGTACTGCTCAACTAAGCTAATGCCAAAATTACGGAAGCTTTCTTCATCCTTCAAACTAGTTGACAACTGAGATTGTAACTCATTTATATCATTTGTAGTGTTTGATTGTTGTGGTTTTTCTTTTAAGCCTTGAATATCTTGCTTAAGTTCGGTTATCATCTTGTCTCCATTAAATACGTTTTCGTTGATTCTCGTAGGTTCAAATTCATCATCTTCCCTTATTAATGCATCACGCATCCAATCTAAGTTTTCAACAAAGTTAGCACATGTTATTGATTTGAATGTCAAGGAAACTAATCCACCTTCCTTCGTTATACCATTCATGATCGAAGAAGGAAAGTTGATCAAAGATTCTTTCGGGGTCTCGTACACAGTGGCAGGCACTGCTGGAATATTTACAGGCTGTTGTGCTAGCTTTTGTCTTTTATATGTATTCTTGGTCATTATTATAGCACTGTACTTAGATATGAAAAGATAAGAGTTAACTATTATGATTATTATTCAAACATAATAGCGTCAATTTTAGTATTTGAAAATTCGCGGTTTGTGCACGATTTATGGTTCCAAAGTCTTAGACTTGATACATTCAACGATGAACAGGTCTATAGGTCTACAGGCCTACATGGTTATGATCTTGCGATAATAAGGTTATTCTATTGTATTAAAGAACTAAATTACAATGTTTAAAAATAATGTTTATGTGTAAAGGAATGTACTTGCACCCAGACTAATCAAGTCATTGAAGTTTCCATCAAGGATTCTTCAATGCCATCGATTAAGCCATCAATATCTTCCACTTTCAACCCACAACTCAAACTAATCAACTTTCTATACTTGTACATCTTAGAATCAATCCCGTAATTCTTTATTCTATTGGTAACTTCGTTGATTATTTTGTTTCTTCGCAATTGGAGATTCGTCAATTCAATTGCAAAACTTAATCTTTCCTCGTCCTTAAACTCGTCCCCAGAATCATCCTCATTATCATTCTCGAGGCTCAGTTCATATTTTTCAACCAAGTTGGCTAACTGGTAAGCTTGAGTCTTCTCCAATGCTTGAAGCAATGCAACTTCTTTACCGTTTAACTCGCGTTCTTGAAGTTTGATTTCATCTTGCAATATGGACTTACCTTGCTCAATGCTCTCGAAGTTTTCGATTCCACCTTTCTTCAACAAGGCCTCAAACTTATGAAGCGATTTACCATTCGATTTTTCCTTTTCTGTCAAATCAGATTGAAGCTTACTGTAAGTTGTTTTTAACTGAGTTAATTCTTGGCTATATGAGTCTGATAGCGAGTTGATCATTCCAGTAATCATGGATGATAAATCAGTCATCAGAAGTGTTGTCAGGTCAAGATCTCCTTCTTCCTTCACTGCCTTCGAATCTTCTATTATTCTACCTTCATCATCCAATTTTGGAGGATGAGGTTTGTGTGTTTGAGTAATAGATGGTCCTAATACAAATTTCTTGTCCTCATTCTTTATAGGAGTATTCTCTACTGTCCTTTCGGAAATAACTGCCAATGGTTGGTGAGACGATGAGGTGGATAAGTTAGAGCTAGTCTTTGGATTTCGCACTGGAGTTGACATTGGATTATAGGTCTTCAATGAATCATCAATGAAGATATTTTCTTTATCGTCCTCCAAATTATTAGATTGCGATTGTTTCATTAACTGTTCTAATTGTTCCTTGTTAACTCTAGCATTAATTGAATCCTCGTCATCATCTATATCATCATCTTGAACTGTTGTACGTTGCGTATCTGGAGTTTCAATAACATTGTTACGGTAATTAGATTGGATAGGAGTTGCCAATATTTGATTTTGCACTGGCTGCGAGGTTGGTTGTTGATCTTCAGTTTCCATCTCTTGTGAAACACGTTGTTGGCCTGATAGTTGTTGATATTGCTGTTGGTCAAAATCGTTGCCGTTGCTTAAAAGATTGTATTGCATATTCAAATATCTTGGAGTTTCATTATTTACATTCACTAAATCATCTCTTGCACCATACCCTACTAAAAATTTGAATATTTTATTGGAACCAAACTTAGCAGCCAAATGTAAACAAGTATCGCCATTAACATCCTGGTGGTCGACTACATTCTTCAATAAGTTTACCGATTTATTATTTGCACTCTTGGATAACGAGGTTAGTTTAGCCAATATGATACCCAAATAATACCTTAAGCTTTCATATTTTGTTTTTACCTTTGAGAATTGGCACAAGTAATGTAAGGGCGTTCTAC